AGCCACAAATCCAGTTGCCTACTGGCCATCTATATCTGACAGAAGTATAATCCACTCAAACTCAACATATTACAATTGAATTCCTCTTTCTTGACAAAAATAAAAATTAAACTCCTTCCTCATATGGATCCCCACACATCAGTGAAAGCCACAAGCTAGAACCTAGATTGTATCTTCTATGATCCCTCTCCCTAATCCCAAATCCATTGAAATCACCTAGTCCTGTCTACTCCCAATACCCAAGTCCAGACCCACTACCATCATTTGCCTGAATTGCCTTCCTGATATTCCTGCCTTTAGCCTTTGTCTATTCTTCAATCTACCCTCCTCATTGAAGCCAGAGTGACCTTTTAAAAATGCAAATCTCACCCCGTTGACTTGGCTCAGTGACTGAACATCGACCCAAGAACCAAGAGGTCACTGGTTTAATTCCTGGTCAGGGCATATGCTTGGATTTCGGGCTTGATCCCCAGTAGACAGGGTGCAGGAGGCAGCCGATCAATGATGTTTCTTTCTCACCAATGTTTCTGTCTCTCTATCCCTCTCCCTTCCTCTCTCTCTAAAAAATAAATAAATAAATAAAAACATTAAAAATTGCAAGTCTGATCATTTCAGACCCCTACTTTAAATCCTCCAGTAACTTATTTGATAAATACTATAGTCACCATTAAAGCTAGTCACTCCAGCCCGGCTGATGTGGTTCAGTGGTTGAGTGTTAACCTATGAACCAGGAGGTCACAGTTCAATTCCAGGTCAGGGCACATGCCCGGGTTGCTGGCTGGATCCCAGTAGGGGGCATGTGGGAGGCAGCCCATCAATGATTCTCTCTCATCACTGATGTTTCTCTCTCTCTCCCTCTCCCTTCCTCTCTAAAATCAATAAAAACATATCTAAAAAAGAAAAAAAAAAGCTAGTCACTCCATGGAAGTTCAGCAGATCAATCCAATTTACTTGTTATATCTTTTTTTGGCAGGTTCAGCACAAAAGAATCATCAGGAAATTTTTTCCAATCCTAAAATATACTTAAAACATACATATAACAACTGATACATTTTTTAAAAAAGCATGAAGCACTGTTTGTAAAATCAAAGACTGAAAATATCTCGACCACCAAAATGGAACTACCATTCAGCTAGCAAGTGAGGCACTAACACATGTACTGTTGTTGAATGGTCTCTAGGGTCTATTATAAAATGGGGATAAAAAGTTATATAGTATGCAGGATGCTTTAGTGTTTTAATAATATAAATGTATATGCTTCTATATGCTAGAAATATCACAGATATGGAATTAGTGCTTGCCTCTAAAGAGTGAAAACAGGTGGTTAGAGGGTAAAGAGAAACTTTTTCCTATTCTTTTAACCCCTTTGATTTTTATATTCCATCTAATTATTATCTATAGTTTTAAACATGATTATCCCCCTCTTCAGTTCCACACAAAATAAAAATGTTAAATATACTGACTGCAAAAACCTCTCTACACGTCATCCCTACAACATTAAAATTATGCACTGATCATTTGGTGTAACATTACATTTCCTTCTTTACAGCTCAGGAGTGCAACTTCAACAACATTTTATTCAATACTAGAACCCGGTGCACAAATTCGTGCACACTGAAAGGAAATTAATTACAATATTTTAATATCGCTATTCGCCCTTTCTCTGTAATAGAAGTGTCAACCAAATTCACAATCGACAATGACAGATTGAAACACACGCGTGCGACTGGTGCCAGCGAGAGCTTTATATGTATCGCGCATGTGTGAGTCAACATAGCCTTTTATATATATACTAGAGGCCCGGTGCACAAAAATTTGTGCACTCGGGGGCAGGGGGTCCCTCAGCCCAGCATGTGCCCTTTTGCAGTCTGGAACCCCTCGGGGGTGACCACTTGCTGGCTTAGGCCTGCTCCCCAGGGGATTGGGCCTAAGATGGCAATCAGACATCCCTCTGGCAGCCCGGCAGCCCTTGGGGGATGTCCACTTGCCAGCGGGGAGCAGATCTAAGCTGCAGTCGGACATCCTTAGCGCTGCTGAGGAGGCAGGAGAGGCTCCCACCACCACCGCTGTACTGGCAGCCATCAGCCTGGCTTGTGGCTGAGCAGAGCTCCCCGCTGTGAGAGCGCCCTGACCACCAGAGAGCAGCTCCTGCATTGATCGTCTGCCCCCTGGTGGTCAGTGTGTGTCATAGTGACCAGTGATTCCCAGTCTTTCTGCTGTTAGGGTCAGTTTGCATATTACCCTTTTACTATATAGGATAGAGGCCTGGTGCACGGGTGGGGGCCGGCTGGTTTGCCCTGAAGGGTGATCTGGATCAGGGTGGGGGTCCCGCTTGGGTGCCTGGCCAGCCTGGATGAGGGGATGATGGCTGTTTGCAGCTGGTCACACCCCCTTCAGGGTGGGGGTCCCCACTGGGGTGCCTGGCCAGCCTGGGTGAGGGGCTGAGGGCCGTTTTCAGGCTGGCAGGTGACTGAAGCTCCCAGCCTCTTTTTTTTTTTTTTTATTCTAGGATTTATTTACCTTCTATAGCTGTCACTAGAGCTGAGAGCCGGCTCCAGCTCTGAGACCCTGGCTGGCTGAAAGCAGGTATCTGGGTTTGTTTAGCTTCTATAATTGAAACTCTGTTACCATCACTGGTGCTCTAAGCTCTGAGCCCGCTGCCGGCTGAAAGCAGGTACCTGGGGTTTGTTTAGCTTCTATAATTGCAACATTGTTGCATCCGGAGCTCAGAGCTGGGCCGAGGCAGGAGGGGAACCTTGGCTTCCTCCATCACTGGAGCAAGCCAGCCTCATGTTCGCTTCAGCTGCGTGGCTGCCGGCCGCCATCTTTGTTGGCAGTTAATTTGCATATCCTGCTGATTAGCCAATGGGAAGCGTAGCGGAGGTATGGTTAATTACCATGTTTGTCTATTATTAGATAGGATATAGAATAAACTTGCTTAATTAGACCTTATTTCTGATGTAGCTAAACTTTTTCCAGCCCAATGAAGCACCCCACTTCTCTTTCAGGTAGTTATCAGCAACACAGCAATAAATATCAACATGAAGCAGATTATTATTGTAGATCATGCAGGGAGAACAAAGGGTAAAATATTTTACTGCAGCAGTGTTTGACTATATTCTGCGCAGTGAGAAAACCTGAAGTCATTTTCAAGGTCCATGATTTACTTCTTTTCAGTCTGGTCAAGTTTCCAAGCTTTCTAAATCTCCGTTTTCTAGCTAATGAAAAGGAAATAGGATTCCACCGAGTTTCCCATCTACCTACTCCAGGACTTCTGTGAGGATCAATGAGATGAGGCATGGGAAAACATTTCACAGACATTTGGTTAAAGTGTAAAATGTTTGCACTTGGCTATAAAGCAAGTCGTGTTCCTGGGCTGAAGAAACTCCAAGGAGGCTAGTCACTAGGGAGAGGAAGCCAGGCGTTGCTACGTGACGTCATTACCCGGATGGACACTTAGCATATCAGCCTTTTATATATATAGATTTTACTACTGCTGAGAAGCTGTTGGTAACTGTATTTGCTCCTTGGTAAAGCAAGACAGCAAGCAACCCTAGGTAGGAGAAATATATTAAATTGACATTAAATCTTTAGGGATTAAAGAAAGCTATACCAATAAATATTACTTCTCTTGCAAATTCAAAAACAGCAAATAAAAAAAAGTTTCCTTCAAACCAGTACAAAAGATCTGTAAAATCTGCAAGATGAAGCAAATGATACTACATGGAGACACAGTTACATCCAATTAGTGCAGTGGTTCTCAACCTTCCTAATGCCACGACCCTTTAGTACAGTTCCTCATGTTGTGGTGACCCCCCCAACCATAAAATTATTTTCGTTGCTACTTCATAACTGTAATTTTGCTACTGTTATGAATTGTAATGTAAATATCTGATATGCAGGATGTATTTTCATTGTTACAAATTGAACATAATTAAAGCATAGTGATTAATCACAAAAACAATATGTAATTATATATGTGTTTTCCCATGGTCTTAGGCGACCCCTGTGAAAGGGTCGTTCGACCCCCAAAGGGGTCTCGACCCACAGGTTGAGAACCGCTGAATTAGTGGAATATGACTTAATCCTTAATGGAGCTTCCTAAAATCAGTTCTGGACTATCTCACATGTTCTACAGAAGACACAAGATATGAAGCAGGCTGTGTGACCTTATAACAGCACACACACCCTGCCTTGAGCTTCCATACTCTTCCCCCTCCCTCCCTTTCACGGCACCAGACTAAACCCTTCAAACATGGGTGTCAGTTGGTTGGTTCCCTTATGACCAAGTGGGGAGAATACACACGAAGCAAACATCCCTTCAGAATTTCATGGCTAAGCCCTTTCAACCAAAGAAAGGATCACCACCAGGAAAAAAAGGTAAGGTCTGTGTAGGGAGAGGTCTGTGAGAGAGGAGTGGGGAAAGAAGGGGGTGTCTAAAGAGTGGCTGACACCAGATCTACCGGAGGGAAGAGCATCACGAAATAGACTATGTGAAAGCTCAGTTGGGTAGGGAAATAGCTTGTTGGCTTGGCGGTGAGCGACCTGGGAGGGGGCGGTCCGCTCGGAAGCGGGGTGGGCAGCAATGAATCTGCCTTGGAACTGGGGGCTGCAATGGGTAAGGGGGCGGCCGTGACTGGGTCTTCAGAGAAACTGTGATCCGGTAGCTCACGGGAGGATGTCACGGAGTCTGGAGGCTCCTTTAAGAATCCTAAGAGTCCGAGGAGGGTTCTAATGGGGCGTGCTGCGAGTATGGGGGTTCGCGGCCGAACCGCCCGGGCGGCTGGAGGGCCGGAATGGTGTCGGGTCAGAGAGACGATAGGTGGGGTCTACTGGGGACCGGGGGCAGGGATCGTGAGTCGGGGAGGCTCCGGAGCAGACCCGCTCCTGGGGCGTCTCCGCTGGGGCGGGGCCGGGCGGCCCCGCAGGAGCCCAAGAGCGAGACTGAGACGTGGGCCGGGCCGGCGGCGGGGCCGCTGGGTGGCTAAGGCGGGTCTTACCTCGGGCTCCGCTGCGGTGGCCACTACAGCCCCTCCTCTATGGCGGAAGCTGCCTCCCACCCTCGGCCCCAGGGTGAGGCCGGAGGAGACAGCAGAGACGGAGGCCAAGGAGGGTTCCGGGAGGGTGGGCCCAGTTGCTTCAGGGTCCGGGCGAGCGGCCGCCGCGCATCCCCCTCCCTGTCAGAGAGACTCCGCCCGGCCTGGGCAGGCACAGCCCCCGCCGCACCCCGCCCAGAGAGCACGCGTCGGGCCGCCGCCTCAGCCGGTGCCGCGGTTGCCTCTGCCGCCGACTCTCAAGGTCCTGGCTGGACTCTGCGCAGCCACCATCAACCGCGCCCGGTCCTCGGTCGGCTCCTGCCCGCGCGCCCCCGGCCCCGCGCACGGGAGACACAATGGAGGCCAGGCCCCCTCTGCCACCACTGGAATCTGGTGTAACCTTGTACAACGCTCTCAATGTCTCTACAGCTATCTCGCGATCAATTGTAACAGTGAAAAGAAAAACCTAC